GAAAGGTTTTTTTCTGTTTTTCAAAAATAGTAGATGTGCTCTCTCTTTTACCCATAAACTCCATTACACCCGCAGAACAAAGTGAGCTTAATGTTTCACTTAATTCAACACTACCGGTTTTTAAAGAAACACCTTAGAAACAAATCAGTATGCTTTAACCCAACTGCATTCAAATTAAAGGGATTTTAATCTTCTTCTATAGGCCTCAGCCGAAATCCAAATTGTTGAACAATCCTCAGAGAAGTTGGAATGCAGAATGTTGAGGTTAAGTTAGATCTGAAAGGGAAAAGAACATCAGATCAAATGAAAAACAGATTCTTATATTGCAGCAGCCTACCACGTAAGGGGCATCTTAGGCTATCTGGGAAACAAATCCAATCTGAGGAAATCCTGTATACCATGCTTTTCTCAATTCTGGTCTGCTGCCAGTAAATCTTTACAACCTCATTTAGAATGTTACATGTCATATTGAATATTCTTAATAAAGTGTAGTGTCTCCTTGCTTCTGTGCCAGCGATATTTTATTTTGGGGGTTGGAGCAGAGCATTATTTAAGGAACAAGTGTGATACTGACCAAATTCTCCTCTTTCTAGTCAACCTGGTTATAAGATTGAATACCTATAAATTATCTAGAGAAATGTCTCAGGGAAGAAGGTTCTCAGGTGATAAACAAAGCCACCCTTACAAATGTTAAAGAGAACACCAGCCCCCTTAATAACCACTGCTTTATCTTTCCCCTGCCAGCCTGCTGGGCCCAGTCCTGAGGAAACACTGGCAGAGATTCAGAATTTTTTTCTTAGACAACCTTTCTCCTGTCTAGATTCTCAACCTATCACCTCTGTATCACCTCTTCCTATTCAGGCATGTTCTCTGGTTAGGATCTTAATTTCTGAAGAGGCCTTCTACTATCGCTTGGCTGTCCAAATGTTTGGGTCAACCCCTTAAACTACAGCCATGCCAGGTTCTTATCACAGAATATAATTGATAAATCTACTGTTAAGGTACCACTAACAGTTTAGTCACAAGAATCCTCTAGCTCAGGGTCTCCAAAAGGAGTGAAACTAAAAAAAAAATAAATAAAAAAATAAAAAATTAATGTTTAAACAAAGGATTAGTACAGTAGTACTATATATTTAAAAATTCATAAATGCATCTAATGGTTTGATGACGCATCAAATATAAGATGGACTGACTGATGAATAAAGATACATATATATGTGATAAATGAAGTACAGGAAAATGTTCACTGTAGAATCTCAGTGATGCCTAACTCAGACATTCCAAAGACCAGTCTTTCTATTTTTGAAAAACTCTGGTAATTCTTTGTATAATCTTGGTCAGAAACAACTGCTCTAGGCATATGAAAATTTCATCTTTAAAGCAAATCAAACATTAGTGTTATTTTTAGACATATATACACAGGTGGTTTCTGAACTACATTTGTATTTAAAGGGGGATGAAAAGAAGAGCCCAAACCAAATTTGAGTAATCCTATATAATAAAGAGCTAATATGCAAATAGTCGTTACGCCCTCGCGCTGCTCAGACCCTCAACACTGGGGAGAGAGGAATGAGGACCAGCCAGGCACAAATGAGCTCGCAAGAGAAGAACGGGG